AACACCAGAAGGTGTTGGCCTATAGGCAAAGTGGTTTTTTTTTTTTTTTAAGATTTTATTTATTTGAGAGAGAGAAAGTGAATGGGGGGGTGAGGGGCAGAGGGAGAGAAACTTCAGGCAGACTCCCTGCTGAGCCCAGAGCCCCCCAGACTGTCTTGGGGCTCTATCAAATGACCCGTGAAAACATGACCTGAGCCAAAACCAAGAGTCGCACGCTCAATGGACTACACTACCCAGGCGCCCCAAAGTGGTTTTAAGCAGACAGACTTTCATTTGTAAAGTGATCATAGGGAAGTACATATTGTTTCACTTAAAAAGGCTGCCTTCTCTGATCCCCTGACTGCAGTGAATTGCACCAACTTGCCCACAGCACACATAGGCGGGGCTTCAGAAGCTCTGTCCTCATTCTGACTAATATGGAATGACACCAGTGCATGGCTGTACCCCTCCAGGTAGGGCAGCTTGCTGAGGGCACAGGGGGATGTGTTTGCCAGCTCCATCTGTTCTGCTGTGTGCTTCATGGTGACAGGTACACAACGAATGGATGGAGAGATGAATGAGTGAGCTAAGATTGTGAAAGTGACAAAAACAAAATGAACTCCCATTAAGAAAGTTAAGTTCTTCAAACTTGAAAATAAGACAAAACGTAGCTTGAAGACCGGCATTGTGATGCCACCAGCTTTGATTTTCTTTTGCAACATTCCTCTGGCTATTCAGGGTCTTTTCTGGTTCCATACAAATTTTAGGATTATTTGTTCCAGCTCTGTGAAAAACGTTGATGGTATTTTGATAGGGATTGCACTGAATGTGTAGATTGCTCTGGGTAGCATAGACATTTTCACAATGTCTATTCTTCCAATCCATGAGCACGGAACGTTTTTCCATTTCTTTGTGTCCTCCTCAATTTCTTTCATAAGTGTTCTGTAGCTTTTATTTTTTTTTATTTTTTTTATTTTTTTTAAAGATTTTATTTATTTATTTGAGAGAGAGAGAATGAGAGATAGCACAAGCGGGAAGAGGGTCAGAGGGAGAAGCAGACTCCCCGCTGAGCAGGGAGCCCGATGTGGGACTCGATCCCAGGACTCCAGGATCATGACCTGAGCCGAAGGCAGTCCCTCAACCAACTGAGCCACCCAGGCGCCCCTGTTCTGTAGCTTTTAGAGTACAGATCCTTTACCTCTTTGGTTAGGTTTATTCCTAAGTATCTTATGGTTTGGGGTGGAATTGTAAATGGGATCAATTCCTTAATTTCTCTTTCTTCTGTCTCAGTCTACAGAAATGCAACTGATTTCTGCATATTGATTTTATATCCTGCCACTTTGCTGAATTCCTATATAAGTTCTAGCAACTTTGGGGTGGAGTCTTTTGGATTTTCCACATAAAGTATCATGTCATCTGTGAAGAGTAAGAGTTTGACTTCTTCTTTGCCAATTTGAATGTCTCTTATTTTTCCTGTTGTCTGATTGCTGAGGTTAGGACTCCTAGTACTATGTTGAACAACAGTGGTGAGGGTGAGCATCCCTGTCGTGTTCCTGACCTCAGGGAAAAAGGTCTCAATTTTTCCCCATTGAGAATGATATTCACTGTGGGCTTTTTGTATACTGCTTTTATGATATTGAGGTATGTCCCCTCTATCCCTACACTGTGGAGAGTTTTAATCAAGAAAGGATGTTTATAGCAGCAATGTCCACAATAGCCAGACTATTCAAAGAGCCAAGATGTCCATCGACAGATGAATGGATAAAGAAGATATGGTATATATATATACAATGGAATACTACTCAGCCATCAGAAAGGATGAATACTTACCACTTACATCAATGTGGATGGAACTGGAGGGTATTATGTTGAGCAAAATAAGTCAATCAGAGAAAGACAATTATCATATGGTTTCACTCATATGTGGGATATAAGAAACAGTGCAGAGGATCATAGGGGAAGGGAGAGAAAATGGAATGGAAAGAAATCAGAGAGGGAGGGGCGCCTGGGTGGCTCAGTCGTTAAGCGTCTGCCTTCGGCTCAGGTCACAGACCTAGGGTCCTGGGATCGAGCCCCATATCGGGCTCCCTGCTCAGCAGGAAGCCTGCTTCTCCCTCTCCCACTCTCCCTGCTTGTGTTCCCTCTCTCACTGTGTCTCTCACTGTGTCTCTCTCTGTCAAATAAATAAATTCTTAAAAAAAAAAAAGAAAAGAAAAGAAATCAGAGAGGGAGACAAACTATGAAAGACTCTTGACTCTGGGAAACAAACAGGATTGCTGGAGGGGAGGTAGGTGGGGGGATGGGGTAATTGGGTGATGGGCATTAAGGAGTGATACGATGAGCACTGGGTGTTATATGCAACTGATGAATTATTCAACTCTACATCTGAAATTTAGATGCACTATATGTTGGCTAGTTGAATTTAAATTAAAAAAAGAAAAGAAAACGGTGACCACAGGTGCTTTCAATGTCACACTAGAGCTTGGTCAAACAGGCCCCACCAGCAATTACTCAATTCTTTAGGAAATAGATGCCTTTGGCTTTTTGATGACTGTGGATTAGACACCAGACTCTATGAAGTTAGATGTGAACTAAGAAGAGATTGACTGATAAATTGCAAATCATTTCTGCCTGATATAAAAGATAGCCTCAAATGGTGCAGTTTTATTGCTTTGCAATTCATTAAGCAGGTTTCTTTTTTTAATCTAAGTCAGCCAACCCATTCCACCATTTCTTTTGAATCACGTCTTTTGAATCAGCTTATCGTCCTGCTGGTTCCTTCATTTATTAATAATGATAAATCTTTGGCACGTGCTCACTCTGTGTTTATGTAAGAGTTGTGTTTTGGATGTTTTTGAAAATTAAACTGATACTACCTAAGATAATGTTATTTTCTCACAAGTCATACAACATATGTGGTGGTTTTAAAATCTATCCTAAGAGGTGAAGCTTATTTTCCTTTGAGTGTAGGCTGGACTTAGTGGCTTGCTTCTAAAGAATTTATTACCTGGTGGAAGTGGCAGGGTGCCACATCTGAGGCTAGATCACAAATGGCATTGGAGCTTCTTCCTGATCTCTCTTGGCTCTCTCCCCTTGGGGAAACCAGCTACCATGTCAGGAGGACACTTGAGCAGCCTATGGAGAGGACTGTGTGGTGGGACCGGAGGCCTCCTGACAACAGCTCCATGTGAGCAATCTTAGAAATAGGGGCCCTACAGCCACACTCCAGCCTTCAGATGAGGAAGCCCTTTTGACATCTTGACTGTGATTTCACGAGAAGCCCTAAGCCAGACCACCCAGTTCATGCCACTTTTCTGGTTCCTCATTCTGAGAAGCTGTGTAAAATTATAATGCTTGCTGTTTTAAGCTGCTGCTAAGTCTTGGAATAATTTGTTACACAGCAACAGGTAACTAACACACTTTGCCATCACCATGGGCAGTTTCTACTCCTGTTCTCTTTTCATTCCCCGCAGTCCTCAGTGGGTATCCTCCCTTCTTAGGAAACATCTCAATTCTTCATGGACTTCATATGACCATAGAGGTTGTCCCAGAAACTGTGCCAGTCTGCAAAGGGGTAATACTCCCCATGGTGCTTCTCACCAGTGCCCTGGAGGTGGGGGTGGCTCCTGCTCTTGCTGAAGAGACGAGGAAGCAAACAGCACAAGGGTACATGCCTGTATCAATATGTAAGCACACATTCAAGAGTGGTTTATTACAGTAAAATAGCAATTTTTTATTAGGAAGATAAATCAAACATAATTAAAATAACCAGTATTCATGTGGTGTCCACTATGTCCCTAGAACTATGTTTAGTGTTTTTTTTCTATTTCATGAAAATTTTCTCATTTTATGCTCATAACTGCCTTGTGTGGTAAATACTCTTATTATCTCTATTTCATGGATGTGGAAACCAAGCATAGAAAGGTTAATTATGTTGTCTGATATGGAATCAATAATCAGAATCAAATCCAGGAAACCTGAATCTAAAGCTATTGACCCCAAGACCCAACACAGCAGTTAGAGGGAACCATTTACAGTCTGCCTCAGATCATGTCACTTTTCTGTTCCCTGAGCCTATGAGAGTAAAAGGCAGGTCTCTGTCATACTCCCAGGCCCCACAAAACCAGGCTGTCATTATCACTTGACTTTATTCTTTTACCACACCATGAAGTACACTCAAGCCACATGACCTCTTGCTCTTTCTTGAACAAGCCAGGCACAGTCCTGCCTCAGGGCATTTGCACTGACCATTCTCTGTGCCTGGGAACCTCTTTTTCAAGATATGAGCATGGCTCACTCTCTTACCTCCTTAAAGTCTCTGCTAAAATATCACCTTCTCCATGAGACCTATACTCACCATCCTGTGCTTTTCTCTCCTGCTGCCATATTCCACTTACTGTGCTCTATTTCTTTCCACAGCACTCACCATCTGTTAACACACTATATAATTCAGCTGTGTGTTATGTATATTATTTATCAGCTCCCCACCCTACCCTGCTGGAAGATAAGCTCATACAAGGGAGGTGTCTCCTGTCTATTTTGTTCATTAGTGTATTCCAAGCACTTAAGGTGGTACCTGGTATACAGTATGTCTTTAATAAGTAATATCGCACTAACACTGAATGAGTTGTATGCTGTATCACATTGAAAAGGCCAGAGAGGGGCACCTGGGTGACTCAGTTGGTTAAGCGTCTGCCTTCAGCTCAGGTGATGATCTCAGGGTCCTGGGATGGAGCCCTGCATTGGGCTCCCTGCTCAGCAAGGAGTCTGCTTCTCCCTCTACTTCTCCCCCTGCTCATGATTTCTCTCTCTCTCTCTCAAATAAATAAATAAAATCTTTAAAAAAAGGCCAGAGAATTGTCTCACATTTTGTTCATAGTTATGATTTTTATTTCTCAGAGAGGTTTGATGCTTCTGGGTCCTCATTCTCTTAATATAGCAGTTAAGATCATGGTGGACACTCTCTGGCCAGTGGGCTAACATGGGCCCACTGTTTGTTTCCTAAACAACGCTTTATTGCAATACAACCATGCTCATTTGTTTACACAGTCTGTGGATCCTTCTGTACTACAATGGCAGAGCTGAGTATCTGTGACAGAAACTGCACAGATAGGATATTTAGTACGTGGTCCTTTATAGAAAAAGCTTGCCGAACTCTGGTCACAACCATCTTGATTCAAGTCCTAAATCTGTCACTTATTAGCATACATCTTTGGTCAAGTTGCTTAATCTTTCTGCCTTTTGGAGTTCTCATCTGTAAAATGGGGATAAAAATAGTACTGACTCAGGAGTGGCTATTAAGATTAAAGGAGTTAATGTATGTGAAGTCTTTAGAGCCATGCCTGGCACAAGCAGGTGCTTAAATGTCAGCTGTATCATCATCGTCTTCATCAGCCACATGGCCTGGGGGAATTTGCCTCATCTCTCTGATTTGATGATTCATCTCACCTCATTTACATTTCTCTGTAAAGAAAAGAGGAACAACCACCTCACTGGGTTGTCATGAGGACGGATGAGACAGAGGCTGTGAAGAGCAGGGTCAGCACTTAACACAAACCCATAGACACCTGCTTCTCACCCCCTCTGTTTCTCACCTCTCTGGCACCCTTCCCCGGGTATGTAGAGAGGACCCCGAGAACATGGCAGAGGCCCCCCTTTACGCTGACCTAAATCTAAGGCTAGTTCGAGGCCAAGCACTTCCTTGCCATTGTGCTAACACATCTTACCTGACCCAGAGAGGGAGAAGGCTCCAACTCAGCCTGGCTGAATGACCACAGATTATGCTGTGGATTTTCAAATCCCTTTTACAAGAAAGGTTCACATCTGCTGCGCATTCACTGTGTCAACATTGTCTCAAAAGCAGTACAGGCTTTGTGCCATCAGACCTGTGAAGTGAGTGCAATTTTTATTCCCATTTAATTGATAAGACAAAGTCAGACCTAGAGAGGTGAAGTAACTAACCCAAGGTCACAAACTAGTAAGACATGGACCTGGTATTAGTACTCTGGCAGTTCGATTTCATACTAACTCGCCCCCATTCCCCCTCTGTGAACAAATAAGCCATATAATGCTTACAGGCTCAAGCAAGCAAGGGATGGAGGGTAGAGCTGGAGGTCAGGGGGCCTCCCTGCCAGGAGTCTTTTGCAGGCCAAGGGGCTTCTTGAGAAGAACAGAGACTTCAAGAAAGACAACAGAAACCAAAAGAGTTGGTCCAGAGACAAAGGGCTCCAGCACGACAGAGTGAGGCACACATTAGGACAGAGGGGATTCTTCACTCCCTGGAGTGACTTTGGTGGCCTGCCTGGCCTAGGAGAGCTGGTGTTGATGCACAGACACACAGCTTCCAGGGAGCTGTGAACAGAAGTGTCCTTCCTGCTACTGCCCTGAATTCCCAACCCCAGCGACAGCCACATCCTGCAGTCACTGTGTGACAGAGGGAAGGTGCTACTTGGCTCATAGCACATTTTAGTAACGCTAGAGTCCCTGTGACATTACAGGGAAGTCTGTGGGTCAGGGCACCGAAGCTGGGTGCTGAGCCAGAAATGTGTGGCTTTGTTGTCCTTACTCAGTCCCATGACATCTTCCAGGGTGGAGGGTCTAGGGAAAAGCCAGTTCTACAAGCTGGGACCAGGGAGTGTAGAGGCAATGGCAGGGTGAGACCGTGGTGTGTGTCACACCCACAGGTAGTTTCTCCTGACTGAGTCACCCAGGGCAGGACCAGAGCCACTGGCGACTTCCTTACCTCAGATCCAGGTGAGACCCTTCAGAGCAGGTCCAGGTGCTTTGCTTATCTATACTTCAGAGGCCTCCACAGTCTGAGGACTCACCTCCCACAGATTATGTGGTTTGGCCATTTCTGGACCTCTCTCCACAGAACAGCTAGGACTTGAACCAGATTCTGCAGCTGAAAATTGGACATAAGCCAAATGTGGAAGAAAAAAGTCAGTAGGTAGGAAGACAGAAAGAGTCCTGGTCTGGCTCCATCTTCCCTGCTCCCTGGGCCATGCCCTCCTTCTGCCCGGACAGAGTACAGGCTCTGTGTGTGTGGCTCTGACCTCATAGAGAGGGCACTCTTGGCCAGGCTGGACTGGGCAGGCCACACTGGGATGACTTCTTCCAAACATTCACCTGACCAATCCATGCAGTCTTTCCTCCTGTTTTTGTTTTTGTTTTTGTTTTTTTTCTCTTTCCACAGAGGACTTGGTCCAATGAGGACCCATAGCTGAATTAGACAAGGCAAAGGGAACTGCACTGAGACTCCCCCAGAGGAGGCCCCAAGCCTTCCTTGGCTCTGTCAGTGACACTTGGCACCGATGGAGTAGAATCATCTCCTTTCACAAACTCCTCAAGAACCAGGGACTACTTCTTTATATATATATTTATATATCATATATAAATAATATATTATTATATATAACATATTATATATATTGTATATTTATTATATTAATGTTATAAATACATATTATATATTATAAATATATATAAAATTATTAGATAAGTGTTTGCACATTTGTCTTTTCTAATTTTTTATTACTATATTTAATTGTAGTAAAATGCACATAACAAATTTACCATCTTAACCATTTTTAAGTGTACAGCTATGTACATGTCTTTTATGTCTTTTGTTAAATCTATTCCTGAGTATTTTATTGTAAACAGAATTGATTTTTTATTTCATTTTCTAACAGCTTGCTGCCCATATATAAAAAACATAATTAGTTCAAGGACAATAAAAATAAAAATATTTTTGTAATCATCATAGTAATGACCGATTCAGGTAAAAATCATCAACGGAGGTTAAAGTCTTTATGCCAGTGTTTGATGAAAAGCAAGATACACATTGTCTTAAAGGATCTCCTCACAGATTGCTTACCAATTACAGAAAGAAAATTGGTAATTTTGCAGTGGAGAAACCTGGCTGACTCGACCTTAATCAAGTGGCCAAAATGTCATTCACCAGTAATGGCGTGAAACAACACAAGGTGTGTCTGTACAGGAGATGGCACACGGAGGACACATTACATCTTCTGCAGCGTTCCTGCCAAAAGTGCGTAAGCTGAATCTAATCATGAGGAAACACCAGACAAAGCCAACTTGAGGGACAGTTACAAAAAACAGCCCCTTATTCTTCAACAATGAATGAACGACAATAGGGACAGAGAAAAAGTAGGCTGACTCGGAAAATATTTAGAAAGTACATCTCCTGAAGACTTCTCTTCTATATGTAGCTTGTGCTACCATTTGTGTGGAAAAAGTACACGTTCAGAGGCCTGCTGGTGCCCCAAATTTCTTTCCAAAGAGAGTCTGCAAACAGGTAGCATTCGTTATTGTCATGTGCCATAGAAACTGGATGGGGAGACAGAACTGATTTTCACTTTGTTCCCTTCATCCTACCGGAATTTTTATTTATTTATTTATTTTATTATTTTATGTTAATCACCATACATTACATCATTAGTTTTTAACCCTAACCCTACCAGAATTTTTAAAAAATCATTTAGATGTGTTATTCATTTAAAGTTTGCTTTTTTACTTAACTTTACAAAGTGGTTCTCAAACACAGTATTAAGTGAAAGAAACCAGGCACAAGAAGAATGCATGCTGTATTATTTCATTTACATAATTCAAAACTAAGCAAAACTAATCCATGGTATTGGACATCAGGCCAGGGGTTAACCTCACCTTGAGGTAGGAAGAGTGGCTGGAAGGAGCACAGGGCTGTTTCTCGGTACTTATGCAGAACATCAGAAAATTCAGCAAACTATATCCTGATAAGCTGTGCAGGGTCCTCTATGCATGTTATACTCCAATTTTTTTAAGGTTTGTTGTTTAAAAAAATACAATTAACTTTTCTATATTAACAGAGTATCCTGCCACCTTACACTTATTAGTTCTGGTAGTTGTTCTATAGATTCCCTAGGATTTTCTACATAAACAATCATATCATCTGCAAAGAGGGACAGTTTTCCTTATCTTCTGGTCCTCATTCCTTGGATATTTTTAATTGACTTGGCAGTGGCTAGGACTTCCAGTAAAATGTTGAACACAAGAAGACAGGACAACCATCCTTAACTGGTTACCAATCTTAGGAAAAAACATCCAGTCTTTCATCATTTTTTTAAAAGATTTTTATTTATTTATTTGACAGAGAGAGACACAGCAAGAGAGGGAACACAAGCAGGGGGAGCGGGAGAGGGAGAAGCAGGCTTCCCGCTGAGCAGGGAGCCCGATGCGGGGCTCGATCCCAGGACCCCGGGATCATGACCTGAGCCGAAGGCAGACGCTTAACGACTGAGCCACCCAGGCGCCCCTCCAGTCTTTCATCATTAAGTGTGAGCTGTAGATATATTTTTTTGGTAGATGCCCTTTCAAAATACTGAAAACAGTTTTTTCTATTCCTAGTTGGCTGGAACTATATAGATCATGAGTAGACGTTAACTTTAACCTAATGCTTTCTCTGTATCCACTGAAATAATCATCTGGTATTTCTCCTTTATTCTGTTAATATAGTTCCATTTTATAGTTCTTGTCTACTAATTCTGACATCTAGGTAATTTCAGGATTGGTCTTCATTGTCCTAATTCCTGACACAGGGTCACACATTCCTTCTTCCTCATATGTTTGAATTACTCCCTGGACATTGTAAATATTATATTACAGAGACTACCACACTCCTCTGAAGAAGTTTATGTTTCTGTTTTACCACGCAATTAACCTCATGAGACTCAAAATGCAAATCCTGTCTCTCAAGTGGCAGCAAATACCTCAGATCAGTTCCTTTACCTTTAGCTGGGCTTCTAGGCATGGCTCAAGGGTCAGCCAGAGATTTGGGCAGTTTTTACACTGAATTTTGTGGCTCTCCCTCACTGCCTCTAAGATTACCTTCTAAGATTACCCCTTCACTTTCCATTTGTCCCAAATCTGTCCCCCAGTTCTTCAGAAAGGACTGTAGGGTTTTTGATCCATTTTAGTTGTCTCATGCTATGCAGCTTAAGCCTGCCCTCGGTGTAAAAATAGGACATATGGGAAACTGACCCATTCACATCATTTGTTTCCAAGTGGCTACTCCCCTGCGGAATCTGCCTGCATGTGTTTGCTTGTGCTCACTCACCAATACATTCAGATTCCCTGCCCATTTCCCACCCGATCTTATAGTTGTTTTTGTGAAAGACTTGGTCCAGTCCAAGCCCACTTGGCACCAAAAGAAACACATTCCTTTCAATTCTAAGTATGTCTCTTGTAATTAGCACACTGCAGTATTTCTTTTTCTAGTCTGTTAACCTTCTTTTAACTGGAGAATTAAGTTAATTTAAACTGAACGATTGCTGAAATTTGCCAATTTATTTCTACTATCCTCTTTTTTCTTTCCTTTCTTTTTTGTTCCTTTCTTTCTGATGTCTTTTTTTCTGTTTCTTTTTCTCCTTCCTTTAGTGCTTTCAACTGGATTGAGTGAGATAGTTTTGTTTGTTTTCCCTTTGTTCATCCTTCTCTCAAATTTGGAAGTTACATGCTCTCTATTAATTTGATAGTTACTCTAGCTATTTTAACGATCCTTCTTGACCCAACTAAATATAAAGTTAATCAGTATTTTTAGTTGGAGAACTGTGCCATAGTGAAGGTGGCCACAGGGGTAGGATGGTGACCACATTTTGGGGTATCTGATCGTCCCTTCTTGCGTGTTCACTGAGTTTTGTGATGAGGGTACAGTGGTACTCTCTGCCATTTGGCTAGTAATGATGAAGGGTCAAGAAAGAACAGAACTTGAAGTTGGTGCCTGCCTCACCCTACAAAGCACATACTGATTACATCTTTGGACACCCAAGATGCCTGGAGTGAGTTTGGCATCCAGGGTCCAATCTGCACTAGTTGATATCCAACCTAGAGACAGGAGACCAGATACAGAAATCCAAGGCCACCCTACCCTTCCTCTCTCAGCCCTTACACCCATGACTATTTGCCTTCAGTCTGGTGATAAGGGGAGAAGATCCCAAGAGGACATGGTTTGTCCAGTCCTCAATGGGCAGTTTCCGACTGACTCACTCTCCTTGCTGAGTTCGCACCTGAAACACAAGCATAGATGGAGATTCAGCAGTCGAGAGAATAGGCTCTCTCCATCCTGTCCCTGAATCCATGGATTCTATGAAGCTCAACTTTTTGTCCTCATTTCTGTCTCTTTGTCTCCCTCTTCTACCACTGGTCCTTGAAGTCATGAAGTTTATCTCTTCTCCCTGCATTCTGGGATCATGCCTTCCTAAAATAACCAGTCCCACAGCCTCTCATTTGAGCCTTAGTCTTCACTATCCTGTATCTTCCCCCACATCAGCCATCCTCCTCAGACTGGAGACACAAGGAAGTCACACACTATCATACATCTCACTCTGTATGAACTACCACTGTGAGGCAACCAGAGGTCACAGCTGGGTTTGATATCTCCTATCAGAAAATTATCTTTCCTTTAGGAACTGGACCTTCGATAGAAGACACATGGAGCAGAGATTGCTGGAAAAAAAAATTGGGCATGCCCAGAATCATCTGACTTCCCAGTGAGAAAGCTCCTCTATCTGCAAGGAAATAGAAGTACCACAAAACAGGGTCTGGTCCAGAATGACAAGAATTTTGTTTTTGTTTTGCGGGTTTTTTTGCAAGTGTCCATATATACTTTATTCACACAAAGTATTATCACCTCTTGGGTCTCTGTGTTCAAGCAAAAGTCTGTGGCCAGGCCACCTGCACTACACCTCAAGACCACCCAACTGAGGACATTCTTCCAAGGGACACTCAGGCTTTGGCAGAGCTGGGCTTTTTGTTTTAATAACAAAACTCA